GACCTGCCGCTGAAGCGGAAGCAGCGCCGCAGCCGCACCACGTTCACGGCGGAGCAGCTGGAGGAGCTGGAGAAAGCTTTCGAGAGGACCCACTACCCCGACATCTACACCCGCGAGGAGCTGGCCCAGCGCACCAAGCTCACCGAGGCCCGCGTGCAGGTAAGGCCCAGCCTGAATCCGGCCTAACTGCGGCGTAATCCTGCACATCCCTGTTTAACACCGGCCCAGCCTCACTCTGGCCTAACTGCGGCGTAATCCTGCACATCCCGGTTTAACCCCAACCCGGCCTGAGTCCGGCCTAACTGCGGCGCAATCCTGCACATCCCGGTTTAACCCCAACCCGGCCTGAGTCCGGCCTAACTGCAGCGTAATCCTGCACATCCCTGTTTAACCCCGGCCCAGCCTCACTCTGGCCTAACTGCGGCGCAATCCTGCACATTGTGGCCTAAACCCAGCCTAACTGTGGCGTAATCCCACACATCCCGGCCTAACTTCAGTCTAACCATGCCATAATACTGCACATCCTGGCTTAACCTCGGCCCAGCCTCACTCTGGCCTAACCGTGCCGTAATCCTGCACATTCCAGTTTAACCCCAGCCCAGCTTACTCCAGCCTAACCGTGGTGTAATTCYGCACATTACAGCCTAACCCCAGCCTAACTGTGGCGTAATCCCACACCTCCCAATTTAACCCCGGGCTGGACTGACTCTGGCCTTATTGCGGCGTAATCCCGCACATCCCGTCTTAACCCCAGCCCGGCCTGACTCCGGCCTAATTGTGGCATAATCCCACACATCGCAGCCTAACCCCGGCCTAACTGCAGCCTAACCCTGCATGCTCCGGCCTGACCCCGCACACCTCAGCCTAATCGCAGTGTAATCCTCCACATTCTGGCTTAACCCCATTCATCCTGGTATAAAACTGGCCTAACCCTGCACACCCCAGTCTAACCCCACACATCTCGGCCTAACTGCAGCCTGACCCTGGCCTAACCCCCGACTAACCCTGCACAGTCCGGCCTAATCCCAGCTGTTCCAACCTAACCCGGCCTAATCCTGCTCACCCCAGCCTAATCCTGCACAATCTGGCCTAATCATGGCCTAACCCTGGACTTACCCTGATCAGAGCCTTGCCACCTCGGCCTAACCCCACACACCCCAGCCTAACTCCAGCCCAACCGCAGCTTGAGCCCACACATCCCAGCCTAAACTCAGCCTAAGCTCTGGCCTAACCCTGCACACCCTGGCCTAAACTTGACCTAATCTTGTGCACCCTGGCCTAACCCTGTACATCCTGGACTAACCCTGCACACCTCAGCCTGGCCCCAGCCTAATCCTGCACACCCCGGCCTAAACCCAGTCTAACCCTTGCCTAACCCCAGCTTAACCCCGCGCATCCTGCCCGGAAGGCGGCTGCTCCTTCACTGCCTCTTCTGAAAAGAGAAAACCTTTGCAACAATGCTCCAAGAGTCAGACTAAAAGCAGAGCTTTAGTGTGGAAGCTGCCAGAGGTCCCCACGGTCATGGACACACCAAACCATGGGATTTCTGCATTAGATAAGGGTAATTAATAGGGTTGTAATTGTAATGTAACAGGTACATCCCACAGGAGGTTGAGTTGTCCCAGGAACCCAACCCTGGTCAGTCCCAAGCGCTTCTTGGCCCCATTTTCTTGTTTTGTCTTCTCGGATTGTGGTTGGAAACCAAAATGTTCTTCTTGGGAATAAGGCTGAACAGCATTTCAGGGATGTGTTAGAAGGTGAATTATGGTTCTGAAATCAGGGAGAAAGGGTTGGAAAAACACTGGGAGCCACRGAACTCTGGGATGGTATTGACAGAGCTACAGCTTGGGGAGAAATACGGAAAAAGCGAAACTCTTTGAGAATCCCTTCCCCTTGGAGAGGAACCGGGAATGGGGTGGCTCCAAGRTGGGAGCTGAAGTCAAACCCAGTGTCTCGGGTTTGGTGTGTCCCGTCCGGCTGATCCACGTTCCCACGGATTGGGAGAGGCCCTTTGGAGCTGTTCCCTGCAGAGGTGCCAGCTGCAGGGATCGCGTCCAGGCTGGGAGCAGGAGCCAAACTTCCCCTTGGCCGGGCATTTTCTCTTGGAGGCGATTCCTCTGTTCTCCCGGTGCGTTTAGTCCCGGCTGAAGCCATCCCACATTTCCCAGCCTGGCCCAGGGGAGCGGATCAGATTCTGCAAAGTTTGCAAAGTTCCGCCACGGGGGCATTTTCGCACAAGTTTTGGGGATTTTTTTTAATTCTTTTTTTTTCCTCCTTGGATCTCTGGAGAGGGCAAAAAGGGGAGTGGAAAGGGAGGGTTTGGAGCCAGGAATATGAATGATCTGTGGCCATCTGGGGGCTGGATGC